GGTAATGGATACAATTAATTTTGGGAGGTGTTATGCTCTTATTTATTTGTTTCACTAATCCCTATAGCTCTTGTTCAAGTATCACTGAGCCTGAAATTTCTACGAGTTTTCTTCGGCTCACCATTTAAAGATAATTCTGATTGGCTCGTGAACGGTCCAGACGTTTAGAGGCAAGGCTGTTTAAGTAAACTTCGCTCCTCATTATGAAGATAAGGTGGAAACCTTGACGACATTAAACTTTCAGACTCTCGTGAGCGAGGAGACTAAATCGTGTCTCACCTCATTTTCTGTCTGGACCAAATAAGTGATGCCCACAGGCAGACGCACGAGTTCCTTTCAAGAAAACTTAAGCATAACTTGGAGAACCGTTTTCTAAACTGACCTTTAGGTTGAACAGAAGCATGTTTGTACTGTTGAGGCTTGATTCCGGATGGTTGTATTCAACAATATCGTCAAAATTATTTGCCTCAAGAGATACGGTTTTACATATATTGAACTTGGTGGCCTTGTTAATGCACTTTATCGGCATCGCCACGACAAACATCCGCCGAACGATGAGGCCAAGTTTTTTGAAGCGGTCTAAACGAGCCCAGCTGTTTCGGATGACTTCACGACGAGAGAAATGACTGCTAAGTGACTTGACGAGAAGAAGAAGATCGACTGGTTGACTTAGCGATGTGTTGGCCGGAAGCTCTCCATTTAGCAATGTTTCCCCAGACATGTTAGTTCTGCGCGGGCACTGAGTGGTGGGGAGATTTCGTAAGAAATGTGGGCGGCGTTTGGCCAGATATGGAAGAATATAACGAACCACTGGGACCCCGACTTTGGCAGCGGTCTGAGCATACAGACGGCTAAGATCTATGTTGGGCGGCCATGAAACTAAGCAATTACTTTGCTTATTGCAGCAAGGAGTCTGATCGCTGAAATTTGAATGATAAAAAGAATGACAGAGCACCAAAAAGCATGTGAGGACGGCGAAGATGTAGATAAACAGAAGGATTTTATGAGTGCTATATTTGCGCCATAAGTGTTTGGTGCTAGTATATGACGTTTTCCAGGTAGAAAGGAGTTTAGCCATCTTCACACAGAGTCTACGTCACTTGTATGCTTTCTGCCTTCTTTTATTCTATGCATGCGAATCGGAGTAGCCAGTCTAAGCATATTGGGTACAACCACATTTGTTAGCGCCATGTCAGCAGAACCTGGCCAAATAAAGCTCTCAGCAACCAAATGCTATGGATAGTGGAGTTGACTTACTCTCGTACCGGGCTGATCTATGAAAGTCTTAGTGTAACATGTCTTGGCAACGATTTCAGCTGACTGGTTTTGTCAAGCCTTTGATGACTGAAACTGACCAGAAACGCCAGTTCAGGCGTACATTAATTAGAGCATCTTTGTGGCTCCACAAGCTTAGCTTACCCGCCATCTGCAATGATGCAAGTTTTGACAAGAAAGATCAACATTTAGAAACTGGTTTTTAAAACTGAAAAAGAATCTATGTGAGGGGGAGATAGATTGAAAAAGCTGTAGCCACGGCGGGGAGACGCAAAGAGGGCTCCTGTTATTTGTGCTGCTTTTCCGGTTTGTACATCTAAATTGCTTTTCTAATAATCCCATCTATGCAAAATAATTAACAGTCGTCAAAGAATTAAAAATATTTATTTAAGAAAAGTGTATCTAACATAATGACCTTGACATGGCTCCATAATAGTGATGCTGCATACTGCGATGGCAGTGAAAGCTCTAAATTGTCCCCGGCCTATGGTTCACCGAGAAGAGAATGCACCAAGGGCTAAACATTGATCCAAGTTTTTCGTTATGCACATAAAGTTCATATCTACTGCTGACGATGAGTGGTTTAATGTATATTGAATTCACAATAAGCAGGTCCAGGTGAGCGTAGATGACACTTTGACAGTTTATGCAAATAGAGGTTAAAGTTATCAACAACAGAAAGAACAATGATACTAATTAGGCTTTTGAATGAATATTATATTGTTTAAATTTATTCCAAGAATGATGGACATGCATTTCCTTGAATAGTTCGGCCCAAGACAAATGGGGCAGCTATTATGTTCACATTATAAGATTTCAGACTTCATAGTCCCCTAAAAGTCTAAATCACTATTAAAAATTCACACAGTCTATGATGCTATTTTCTCCAATGCAATAAAACATAAAGGCTATTTTTTGGTGACAAGCAGAAAGACAAATGAGCCTAATATACCTGACCGAATTGCAGGCACACGAAAGGCTGCTTGTATTAAAGAGAAAAGAGAACACCATTGCAAATTTATGAACATCGTGAGGGTAGCAAGTAAGCCTAGCTGCTTGACTTCTCGTTGATTTATTATTAGCAAGAATGTACCTTTTATATAATTGACTCGCAACTGTCTAACGCAGGATTATATGCAAAGGTTAACAAAGCATAAATTCTAACTTGACTTTTATACCTCGCAAATGTTAATAAAATAGCCAAAAATTTGGTAAAGAATACGAAAATAACAAATTACTCCAGGTTATAAAAAATATGATTGTGTTCATCCTATTGATTTAGTTAGATTCGATGAATCTGCTAGGATTAAAGTATTAAATATGCTTTCATTTCGAATGAAAGTGCATGAGGAAAAGGCATGAGGAAAAGGCATGAGAACCGATCTCACCAGAAGATGATGACTTATTCCCGTTGTACTGCATCCGTTTGGCTTTAATACGACGTTCAGGTCGACGCAGTCTACGAGATCCTCCCACACTTCAGGTGAAAACTGTGAAAGGATTCGTCCATAACATATATTTAATGGACATGCTAATAGCTGGAACTAATTCTTGCAAAATTTATTATTGTGAGAGGCAGTACCAACCTCCAAATTGTAGGTCGGGTATATGGATGACTATTTTGTCATCCGACCACATCGTAATGGAAGCTTAGACCGTTTCTTGCTTTTACTTAACCAGCATTAAAGGAACATTAGGCTCATAAAGGATATAAAGGAGCATGAGTCCCTCCCTACCATTGTTTAATTTTATGGTTATTAGAGGTAACGGTAAATTAGAAAATGATGCTTTTAGAAAGCCAACATAGGCTGACTCTTTTCAGAATTTTCTTTCCAAGCATAATTACAAAACTAAGTTGGGAAATTTGAATTCACTGACCATTAGTAGTATGAGACTAGCGGATAGTAACCACTTGACTAAAGAGTTGGAACGGCTGAAAGCTTTATATTTCGTTTCTGAAAAATAATTATCCTTCGGGCCCAATTGATAATGGTATAAAGTTGAGTAAGAACCAATTATGCTTGGTTGAAAGATTGAAGAAGAGAGAAAGTGTTGAGTCGCCATCCAAAAGGACAATTAATCCATCGGCCCAGTGATATTTCTGATCCTTGTCACATTCGTCTGACATGTTAGATTAAGCTCATCAGCGAAACCAGACGCAATTCCAGTCATGCCGTTCTTTGAGTCGTTAAACCGTAATCACAGTAGATTGAGAGTTTATGACATATGGTTTCCTAACTTGTAAGTTTAAAAGCTTATTAATCATTATCACAACCAAAATAGCTTGCGGGCTTATAAAGTCTCGATCAGGGGGTTTTGTTGGGTCATTAAGCCTTGATGACCCAAGCCTGACATTAGGCTTTTTACTCTGAGTTAGTACTGGTATTACGTATACACGTTAAAAGCCAGATACAGAGACATGGACACTCAAATAAAATTACCATGAATAATGTGAAAGGAGATTAGCCAAATCATTTTGTATCTATCTTATCGTCTATATCATATCGTTCTTTAGTTACGAGAATATATAAAATGTAAGATATAGTCAGACAGTCTTCTCAGCCTGGTATTAACTATACACTTTTACAAGAATGAGTTTCACCTCTTATGGTGTCCAGCAAAAGAAGAAAGCAAGCAAAACGGTTGCATAATAACGAGAATCAGTCATCGTCTTCTAGTGAGATCGATATGAACCCCTTCATCCTGCCCTTTCATACAAAATGAAAGTCTCCCTTAGAATAATCTGACTCTTGCATTCTATTTTATTTTTCGTTTATAAGTAGATTTTCGAGACTACCAGTAGCTTATATATATATTTCGCTAATGTGATTCTCACAATGATCTGATTAGGCCTTATGTTTCTATTGAATATCACCAAGACTTGTTTCCCAAAGCCGATTCTTATCCAGGCTCAAGTGGACTGTAATTTCGCCCTCGCATGGACTGTTCAGCAACCCCTGAGAGACTCGAAGCATGATAGTGCAGCGAATAGTCTCGCCACATTGCCATAAGTGCTCTTCTTTCACAGGGAAGATGTGAAGTTTAAGTAAAGCCAGGCATTTCTCCATATCACATTCTGTAGTGGGATTGTGAATGAAGCAATCTCGTGACATGGGACCAAAGAACACTCATGGCAGTGTGTCTTAGTCGTTAACGTATAGAGCGCAGTTCAACGGTACGAATCCCGCAAGGGGTGCTGAGGAAACATAGCCGAGGACAAAAGTTCAGTTTACCCTGGACGAGAATATCTTCTGGTGGGTAAGATAATGTTAAATTCAATAGAAGTGTATGATCCATTTATATCATTGTGAGAATGTTCACATCTTCGTGATCTTAAAGGAATAGGACGAATACATCTCATATATACTCTTATATGTTGCAATCTCGTTTACTTAAATTGTATAGGCAGCATAATTGATTTCGGCAAAGAGAGGATTCACGAGAGACCACAATAGCTTTTCTATGCCAATTCGTAAATGAGAGCTTTCAGAGTTCTTCCTGTAGTTGCGATGAATTGTTTCTCAAAGCTTTCAGATTTTGCTATTGCATTGCAAGAGAAGTTACAGAGGATACAATAATGTGTGAATTCTTAATAGTCTTCATGTGGATAAAAGACCATA